TTGAGACCTGAGTCACAGACAAAATTCTGATAATTTAAGTGTGGATAATCATAATAAAGGAGACAAAGGGAAAATAGACCAATATATTTCACATGAAACTTTCTCATAAGCTCAGATATTTTTAAAAATTATGTACTGAAATGGAACCAAAATGGAGCCAAATAAAATGTTAACCAGCACAGTGTCTTGAATGTATTTGATGCTTAAATGTTTGTGAAATTCAGTGAAAATAGAACACAAATGAGTGGCATATATCTGCAGAAACAGTGTCAAGAAGGCTAATGCCCATTGTGGGTTGCAGCTAGTAAAAATGCTAAGGAAATTTTTTAAAAAGGACATTTTTAGCTATATTCTAGACAAGAGAAGGAATTAGGGAAAGATAGTTCTGCTACATGGCCATAGGTAATATAATTGCCTATAGAGAGATACCATAGAGAACATGAAACAACTCAAAGACTGTTTGGTTTCTGTCTTTTCCATTCAGGGAAATGGTATTCAGCCTGGGCAGTGTAAACAAATGTAATTAAAAAGGGTTCCTACCAAAAAAAGAAGAAAGGAAAGAACATCATCATCATCATCATCATCATCATCACCACATTTAGCATCTATAGAATTTTTTAAGGTTTGTTAAGCACTTTACAAATATTATCTTATTTATCCTCACAACAATCTTGAGAGATAGGTGCTATTATTGACCCCATTTTATAGATGAGGATTCTTAGGCAGATAGCGATTTAGGGACTTGCCCAGGGACATACAGCCAGTAAGTATCTGAGGCTGGATTTAAACTCAGGTCCCATGACTTCAGGCCCAGCCCTTCATCCACTGTACCACCTAGCTGGACAGAAAAGAACAGAAAAGATTCCAGAGGGAGATACAGATTAACAGCAGAGCTTTGGAACTAACAAATTGAATTTGTCAAATACTTTTTGAAAAAACCAAGCAGTATATGATAAAAATTCATAGTTTTCCTCTTTTTGTTCTTTGTACATGGGAATGTTCATTTTTGCTGGTATTTGTCAAATTTAAATTTGTCAAATTTGTCAAATTGACAAAAAGAAATTAAAATTAAAGTCCTAAAATTAAAAAAAAAAAAGGCTCAGCCCAGCCGGACTCCATCATGATACTGACATGTAATAGCTGAACTGATACTTGAAGAGATCTGAAAATGCTGTGAAACACTGGAAATGGGCAAATGTCTCAATTTTCAAAAGAGGGAAGGATGTGAATTTCTCAATCTGCAGATTAAGAGCTTGCTGGCTAGTTCCAAGAAGAATTCCAGAAAGGATTTTTAAACAAACCCTAACCTTCCTATAACTTCCACCCATTGCTTCTAGTTACAAGTGTAATAAACCCTCTTTTGAATGACAGTTCTTTCACATGGGTTATGAGCACCTAATGGGGCCCAGCAGCAATCAGCATAAGCTTATTAAGAACAAAGCGTATGAGATCAGCCTCTCTATATATATGTAGATATAGACAGATAGAGATATCTATATCTCTATCTCTATCTCTATCTATCTATCTATCTATCTATCTGTATGTATGTATGTATATATATAACAGCATTGCTAGATTGGTAGACCCAGGGCTAATGTATTTGGCTTAATGCATGTGGATTTCAATAAGGCATCTAATAATTCTCTTATTATGTCTTTGGGAAGAAGATGAGAGATATGGGGTGAGTGACAGTATAGTTAGATATATTTGGAACTGGTTGAACTGGTCAGTTCCAAATGACTGGAGGGGTAGAGCCTTGGGTTCCAGGGCCTTTATTTAATGAGGGGGCCCAGCATAGTCCCTCCCCCATTTTCCACAAGCTATACTGCTTTTGAATTTCTCTGGAATTCTCCAATATTCATCCACTATGTGCCTTCCTCTCTCACTCTCCCCCTTTCAGCTTCCTTTTGTGTGTTGTCTTTCCTCATTAGATTGTAAGCTCCTTAAAGGCAGAGACTATCTTTGTGTTTATTTGTATTTGTATCCCCACTATGCCAAGCACATTGTGATTAGCACAGTGCCTGGCACAGAGTAGGCACTTTAAAATGTAATCATCTTCCTATGTGTCTGTCTGCAACTGGAGTACTATATTCATTTCTGGGTACTATATTTTATTTTATTTTATTTTATTTTTGGCTAGGCAATGGGGTTAAGTGACTTGCCCAGGATCACACAGCTAGTAAGTGTTATGTGTCTAAGGCCAGATTTGAACTCAGGTTCTTCTGACTCCAGGGCCAGTGCTCTATCCACTGTGCCACCTAGCTGCCTCTGGGTACTGTATTTTAGAAGGTATACTGGCAATCTGGAACAAATCCAGAGAATGGCAACCAAGATTGTAAGGGAACTAGGACCCATGTTATATAAGAAAAATTGAAGAAATCTGCGATGGTTAGCTTGGGGAAAAGAAGACATAACCAGAGTTTTCAGATGAAGAACTCAAAGATATCTATAGTTATATGAAAAATGCCCTAAATCATTATTGATTAGAGAAATGCAATTTAAAACAACTCTGAGGTACCATCTCACACATATCAGAGTGGCTAACATGACAGAAAAGGAAAATGACAAATGTTGGAGGGATATGGGAAAATTGGGACACTAGTGCATTGTTGGTGGAATTGTGAACTGATCCAACCATTCTAGAGATCACTTTGGCACTATGCCCTAAGGGCTATAAATCTGTGTATACCCTTTAACCCAGCAATCACACTACCTGTATCTCAAAGAGATTTAAAAAAAAGAAAAGGACTTATATGTACAGAAATATTTATAGCAGTTCTTTTTGTGGTGGCAAAGAATTGGAAATTGAGGGAATACTCATCAATTGGGGAATGGCTAAACAAGTTGTAGTATATGATTGCAATGGAATGCTATTATGCTATAAAAATGATGGAGAAGGATGCTTTCAGAAAAAGCTGGAAAAATTTACATGAACTGATGCAAAATGAAGTGAGCAGAAACAGAATTTTGTATACAGTAACAGCAACATTGTGCAGTGATCAGCTGTGAATGAATTCTCAGCAATACAGTCTTGCTGGGAAAGAGACAGGAGATGTGACAGTAATATCCAAAACGGATAAAAGTAAACACAAAACATCAGAACATTGTAAGAGTGAAACAGTAGTATGTGATCTTGAAATTCCAGAAAGTATCTCCATTTTCTAAAAAGCCCATGGCTCAGGTCTAGATATTTGAAATTATATCTTGCCTTAAAAATTTCAGTGAACTTGAAAGCATGGACCTGGAAACCATTTGAAAAACTTTACTATACTTTATAAAGAAGAAATATTTGATGTGTATGTTCTCCTCATAGTATAAATGTTTGAACAAGGTTTTGTTATAGATACTCAAATCCCTAAAGGATCTTTGATTTCCTCAGCTATCACAAATCTTTATTAATGCGTTTTTTCCACTTACAGGTAAATAAAGTTTAACGTTTGGTTTTTTTAAATTTTTTTCCAAAATTAAAGAGGTGCCCGTCAATTAGGGAATGACTGAATGAGTTGTGCGTTGTGATTATGATGTACTACTATTGTACTATAAAAAATGATGAGCAGGATGCTCTCAGAAAAAACCTGGAAAGACTTGCATGGGTTAATGCAAACTGAAATGTACTGTGTACAAAGTAACAGCAGTATTGTAAGATGATCAGCTATGAATGACTTAACTATTCTCAGAAATATGATCCAAGACAACTCTGAAGGACTTATGATGAAAAATGCTATCCATTCCCAGAGAAAGAACTAATGGTATCTGAATACAGATTGAAGCATACTTTTTTTACTTTATTTTTCTTGAGTTTTTTTGTCTGTTTTCTTTTACAACACGAATATTATGGAAATGTTAAAAAAAATTCTTTCCTAGCAAGACAATTCCAAAGGATTCATGATGAAAAATGCTATCTACTTCCAGAGAAAGAACTGATGGAGTCTGAATGCAGATCAAAACATAGTATTAATATTTTACTGTCTTCATTTTTCCTTGCTTTTTTTTTGTCTGTGTTTTCTTTGGCAGCATTACTACTATAGAAATATGTTTTGCATAGTCGAACATGTATAACATCTGTCAAATTGCTTGCTGTTTCAGGGAGGGGGAAGATGAGTGAGAGAAAGTGAAAATTTTCAAAAATGAATGTTAAAATTGGTTTTTTACATGTTTGGGGAAAATATTATTTTAAAAAAGACATGGACAGGAGGGATATGATAACTTTCTTTGATATTTCAAGGGTTGCTCTATGGAAAAGTGACTAAAAATCTGTTCCGCTTGGCTCCAGAGGGCACAACTAAAACCCATGGATGTAAGTTATAGGAAGGTTGATTTTAGCTCCATGAAACAACTTCTTAATGATCAGAGCTCACCAAAATGTGATGAAAAAGCTGCCTCATGAGAGAATGAGTTCTGATCATTGGCAGTATTAACCTCGACTACAGACTGATCGCTTTATGATCACTTTTTGGAAACGTCATAGAGAGAGAGGGCATATGATACAGCTAGGAGTCAGAAGAAGTGATTCCTTCTAACTCTAGGCTTTTTTTTTATTATATTATACTAAAGAGGGTCTTGAAATTCTCAAGTCAAGCAATTCAAACTGTCATTTAAAAAAATAAACAAATGCCAAAGGCTAATTTTTATAGATCTGGAATAAAAACCATAGCTCAGAAAAATGTGTTGAATTACTGTCAACTGGGTATGATTTTCAATGGCAAAAACTTCAGGCACTTAACTTAATAATTTGAATTAATAAGTATCTTATCTACCTGACATTCTTATAGGAGGGGGAGGAGTGGAATTTGATTGATCAGAGGTGCCATGATCAACTCCCTCCCACACTAAATGAACCCTTACAAACTGCAAATAAGTCCCTCAGAATCTGACCCTCGGTAATTTCACTGAGTGGACTGTGAAATCAATGAGAGTCTCCTTATCAACCCCTGCAACACTTCAAATATTCCAATGATGAGAAACATCCTGATGGATTCTAGTCACTAAAAGCCCCTTACCAAAGATTGTAGCTTCCTCTGTGGTAGGGAGGGTCCTCACTGGGTCACTCTTATCACTGTTCTCACTGGTCCGGCCACCATCACACACGGCAGAAACTCGGAACCTGTACACAGTCTGAGGGGTCAGTCCGTCGATGTCACAGTATGGCTCCTCATTTCCTGTTCTCTGTTCATGCCATTCTCCTTCCCCCTCCTCACCCACAGTCTCACTCTCTTCTCTGTAGTCTATTCTGTAGTCCTTGATCTTGACTCCTGCTCCAACAACCCTTGGACCCTGCCAGCGCAGGGTCACAGACTGTGGGCCCACCACAACAGCTTCTGGCTTCCCAGGAGGGCAGGTCAGGGGAAGTGTCCTCACAGCAAGGCTCACATCACTGCTCTCACTGAGCCCTAGCTCACACACCTTAGCAAACCGGAACAGATACTCTGTGCTAGGCTCTAGGCCACTCACTTTGAATACTTCTTGCTTTCCAGACACAGGGATGGTGATCCAGTCCTCTTTCCCTACAACCTGGTACTTGACCTGATAGCCAGTGATCCTCTCCTCCTTCCCAGATGCTGAGGCCAGTGTGAGCTCTACACAGTCATGTGTGACCTCACCAATCTGGGGAGGGGGAGGTTTGACTGGTAGCTCAAAGTTGGTGCTGACCTGCAGTCCCTTTTCATAGAGGTAAATGGAGACCCCCTTGTTCTCCTGGTCTGGGACAGATGCCACAATGAAGTGAGTCTTCTCAGTGGAATGATTGGCCTTGGCAAAGTTTGAAAAGGATTCTGCCAATTGTCTTGCTTTTCTCCTTGTGTCTCTGTCCTCAACCCATGAGGAATATGTCTGTTGCTCACAGTCAAGACTGAATGATGCTGAATTCTGTAGCCACTGTTTCCAGTCTGCTAAGTAGGGTTCCTCATGCAAGGAGGTGAGTGCAAACACCAGGACATATCTGCGGGGAGAGCCTATTACCACATCGTCCACCTCATTCTGGTCAGCCATGACTGGCACCTCCTTCAGAAGGGTGAGGTAGGAATTTACCACCTTCATCTCCTGGAGCTTCTGATCCAGGAACTGTGAGAGCCTACTAGTGCTGAATGGGGACTGACTTTCCCTAATTAAAATCCTGGTTAGCTCATCATCCCCTGCTCTACCTTCCCGGATCTCAGGTAAGACCTTGGCTATTTCCTTCTGTAAAAGCTGTTTGTGCTGCTTATTTAGCCCTTGGAATCGCCTAATCTTCTCCCTGATTGCAGAAAAGACTGAGAGCCCTGGTGCCTCCAGCATGTCATTGCACCTCTTGTCACACTCAGATAACTTCTCCAGAGTGTCCTGGGCATCCCATACCAAGCTAATGCTGATTTCTCGAACCAGCCTGGCAGCCTTGGAATTCGGCTTCTCCAGAGGGTACAACCAGACTTGGACGGGCACCCCATGGCCCCTAAGCAGCTTAGGAAGGGAGGCGTAGACTTCTACTGCATCTTCGTAAGTCACTGGATTGGTCTGAAGAACAAAATCCCCATAAAACTTACACCTCAATTCCTTGGTTGACTTTTTCTCACTGTCCTCCATTTTGATCTTTCCGCCTACCTTTCCTGATACCTGGGGAATCTTCTTTACTTTACTCTTCAATGTTCCTTCTATATCCTTGACATTTTCATTGGTGGAAACTTTCTGATCAAACACAAAGAAAGCCTGGGCCCCATAGAGCACAGCTATGACCACGTGGGTGGCTGTCTCATTATCAAACACATCATGGTAGGAAATATTCTGATATCCCAGGTGGTTCATGGTGAGGTAGGAATACTGGGTAGTCATACTATACTTGAGAGTGACCCGAGCTTGCTGTTGGGATGTCTTGGTGTCACATAAATATTTGGCACAACCCCCTATTTCAATCAGCCCTGCCAGGACACTTGCTTTCAGCTCTGCAGAGATATTCATGGCCTTGGTCTTCTCATCAATAGAGTCAGAGGTGATGATGTCAAAGTCAGTCATGCACTGCTTTTTTGTGATCACATTTCTCTCAAGGGTCTTCTTGTCCCATAAAGTGATGCCTAGAATGGGACAGAGACATTAGGGAGTAAATGGCAGATTGCAGAGGGACCATAGCCTGTCACTTAAGGGTGCCCTCTCCAGCAGGGACAGCTGGGCCTGGGAGCAGCTTGTGGAAGGAGGGTGAGCAGGGCAAGAGGCACAGATGGCAGGGGTGGACAAAATCCTACTCCTGACCTGGCAAGAACTTCTCTATGTCTCTGCAGCTCCCTTGCTCCCCTGAGCCTTCTATGACTGAAGGGGGAACCCTTACAAAGTCGCTCTCTACTCTGAACCCCTGAATCTGAATTCTCCTTCTTCCTCCCCCATAGTCCCAGTACACACCTCCCTACTCTGAGTCCCTGTGTTCCTTCCCCAAGTAGAGAAGCCTCTCCTCCTACCAGCCTGGGAGCTGCAGCCTAAAAAAGGCTCATGGTGATACAGGATTCACAAAGTTTACACAGCACGTTGCTTCCAACAGTTCTATGAATTAAGTAGTGTTATCATCTTTAGCCCCATTTTCCAGACAAAGAAACTGATACTCAGAGAGGTGGTAAATTTTTTGGAGAACCTACTGCTAGTAATTGTCAAAGCAGAGCCCTGGTCTTCTGACTACAAGAGTAGCCAAATGCATTGTCTGAACTAGATAGAGAACAGGAGATGACCCACAGTGAGGTCAGTGCTTGGTGGGTGTAGGAGGAATGTTGCATGTACAAAGCAGGTTTGGCAGTGTTAGCTGAGTATACGACCTTTGGAGCATTCTCTGAGACAGAAAAGGAGTAGTTATGCCTCTGAAGAAGTGTAGCTCCTTCTGGGTTGTCTTGGCCAGGCCCCTTGTGGTGAGACATTCTATGCTGCTAGCGAATGATAATCTTACTCTCTAGCATTAATATAGTACCTTAATATTTGCAGAGTATTGGGGAATGGCTGAGTAAGTTGTAGGATATGATTGTGTTGGAAAACTATTGTGCTATAAGAAATGAGGAGCAGGACGCTTTCAGAAAAACCTGGAAAGACTTACATGAACTGATGCAAAGTGAAGTGAGCAGAACCAGGAGAACATTGTACACAATAACAGCAATATTGTATGATGATCCACTGTGAATGCCTTAGCTGTTCTCAGCAGTGCAATGATCTAAGGCAATTCTGAAGGACTTTTGGTGAAAAATACTATCGACCTCCAGTGAAAGAACTGATGGAGTATGAATGAAAAGAGTTTTTTTAAACTTTGTATGTGTTTGTTTTGTGTATTTTCTTTTACAGTATGACTAATACAGAAATACATTTTGCCTGACTGCTCATGTTTGACCTAGGTAAAATTTCTTGCCTTTCCAATAAAGAGGGACAGGAGAGAGGAAGAGAATTTGGAGCTCAAAATTGAAAAAAAACCGAACATTAAAATTTGTTTAAAATAAATATTTTTATGTATGATTGGGAAAAAATTAAAAATAATAAATATATTCAAATTACTTTGCAAATATTATGTCATTTGATCCTCAGAACAACCCTGGGAGGTCGATGCTTTTATTATCATCCTCATTTGGTAGATGAGGAAACTAAGGCAGACAGGGTTAAGTGACTTGCCCAGGGTCTAATAACTGGCATGTATGTAAGCTTGGATTTGGATTCAAGTCTTCCTGATTTCAGGTCCAGTCCTTTCAGGTCCATCCATTGCACCACCTAGCTGTATACTACTAACTGGCTCCTGGGATGTGACTGAGGAAGGCAGTGAGTGGGGTACAATTTAGTGGCTCTTCTAAATATGTCTTGTTTCTTGTTCAGTAGTTTCTGACTCTTTCTGACCCTGTGGACCATGGCTGTAGATGGAGTTTTCTTGGCAAACATACTAGAGTGATTGCCTTTTCCTTTTCCAGTGGATCCTTTCATCAGGCAATCAGAAGTTAAGTGACTTTTCCAGGGTCACACAGCTAGGAAATGTCTGAGGCTGAATTTGAACTCAGGTCTTGCTGACTCCAGGTCCTGTACTCAATCAACTGAGGCACCAGCTGCCTCTCTTCCAGATGCTGGTAAAGATCAAAAGCCAATACGTATTCATACAACCTGCAACTCTCATCCTTCTCAAGGGAAAGTGATGGGACTGCCTGCCCTTCCACCTTCCCCCAACCCCTCATTCTGAACCATCAGGTCTTCCTTTCTCCTTCAAGCTACCCTTCAACTTTATTTTAACCAGATTGGTTTACATGCACAAACACCTCAGATGTGTATGTGTGTGTGTGAGAGAGAGAGAGAGAAACAGAGACAGAGAGAGAGAGAATCTGCCCAGCTCTCCTGTCAACACTGTGTTTGATGCAATTAAGATTCTGACCCCATCTCTGACTAAAGGTGTTTTTTTTTTGAAAAAGTTCAGTCTTCTTTTGGTTTGATCTTTCAAAGATTGCTTTGTTTTCTTGACCCCCACCCTTCCAGGATGAATTAGCCCCTCCTTACCTAGCCTTCTTCAGACATCACTCCTCACTCCCGGCTGGGATTTGCCATCACATAGCATCTCCCATCAGAAGTAAGTGATCTAGATGGGTTCTAACTGGGGGAAAAAAGATGACACACTCTAGTTGCTGAGACTTTCTCTGAATCTGACTTGCTTACACTGATCATTTTTCACCTAAAAAGAACTCTTTTCTAACACTGTCCTCTCTTGACACCTGGAAGAAGGCCTTGCATTCCAGAGAGTAATTACCAGGGATGAAGGTATCTGAGCGGCAGTCATACAGTGTTCCGAGATGTAGGGGTTGACCAAGAGTTGAAATCGTCCTTGTGTTCTTCAGGGTCATGCTGCTTAGAAGTTCTTTCCCTAAGAAAAAAAAAATTGAGGTCCAGAGCAGTTATCAGGGAACTCCCTTTCTTTCAGGCTGCAACCGTAAGTGCCCCAAATTCCTCAGTGACCTGGCTCCCCCAATCTCTGTTAGCCAGGAATCCTTCCCTAGGATGGAAAGACATAATTCTTGTATGGAGGTAACAAAGGAACCAGACACCTTAGACTGAATTGTTCAGCTTAGAGAGAATCTTAGAAACAAGCTAGGTCAGAGGGCAGAGGTAGAGCTAGAGAGTAACCAGGAGGACTGGTTTGGTGGAGGGGAGTAAGTATTCATGTGCCACTAGAAGGTTTGCAGAGCACTTTACAAATGTCATCTCATTTGGTTCTCACAACAACCCTGGGAAATAAGTGTTGTTATTATCCCCATTTGACAGTTGAACGAACTGAGGCAAACAGAGGGCAAATGGTTTGGCTGGGGGTCACACAGCTAGGTAGTGTCTGAGGCTGAATTTGAACTCAGGTCTTCCTGAATCCAGGCTCAGCCCTCTAGCCACTGGACCACCTAGCTGCTTCTACCTCTCTTTTATTTGCCTTAAGGATAAAAATAAATGCACTTCCTCACTTGAGGAAATTGAGTCCTTCCCTCCCTCCCTGTAATTCCAGAAAAAAAAAAGTTTTTTTGTATTTTTTTTTTTTTAGGTAGTGTGGATTAAGTGACTGGCATAGGGTCACACAGCTAGTCAGCGTCAAGTGTTTGGTCTGAGGTCGCATTTGAACTCAGGGCCTCCGCTCTATCCACTGCGCCACCTAGCTGCCCCTTTTTTTGTATTTCTTAAAGAAATAATCGCAAAGGGCATAATGTCTTAACTGCTTCTTAACACAATGAATCCTAGATATCTGTGATTAAATCCAGTGATTACTTCCACTGAGCTGAGGGTGGAGGAACTGAAGCCTCCCTCTCTTACATGTACAAAACCCCATCTGGAGAGGCAGCTTGGTGAGGCAGAGAGCTGGCTGAGCAGTCAGCTGGGGCTGGCTTCAAGTGTTCCCACCAGCTGACATTTAGCCACCTCCTCTAGGCCACATCCTGCCCCATTCCCTTCTCTCACTCTAGCTGCTACTGGCTCAGGTTTTGCCTACTAAGAGCTGCTGCTGAGCCTCTGGCCTGCCCTGAGTGCCCTGCCTCTGGTTCCCCTCCCCCAATCTAGAAGAAGGGGTAGACTGAGGTTTTAAAGCCCTCAAAACTTTAACTCTTTGTTTAATCTCTGTCATAGGAAAGACTTCTGGCTTTGTTGTTGTTCATCCTGCTTTCTCAAAGAGGACCGATGACATCATGAGGGGATATCTTGACATTGACTGGCATTTACCATCTTCCCCTTACATTTTAAAACTGGATCAAAGGTTTTCATTGGGGTTAGACATTTCCTGATGAGGAAACTCCTTCTACCAGTGCAAGTCAGCACCTGCTCTGCAATGTATAGCTTTAGCACATTTCCTGGGCACTGAGAAGTTAAGTGACTTACCCAGGGTCACCTAGTCAGTATATGGAGAGATGGGTCTGGTGTCCTTCTGCCAGAATTCCTTGTCTCCTTCTTCCCTTGTGCTCTATGTCTGAGCCCAGCTCTCTACCCACTGTTCCACACTGCCTTTCATTTCCCTCTTTTGGGTAAGGCTAAATATAAAATGACCCTCATTGTTCATAGATAGTGTGGTGTTGTAAGACCAAAATACACATATTTGTGACAGATAATTTTGTTTAACTTTTATAACATTGAAGGAAGTATGGGATTAGAAATCTGTCTTCTCTTTCAATTTCATGGCTTAAGGGCAAATGTACCAGATTGCAAAATGTAACAGAATTCTTCTTCAGTCTGAGGTAATTTTGGCCATAAGAAACATTGTTAGAGTCTTAATCGGGGTTCAGGAGTTCTTTGAGGCCTGAATCTATGCTTGCATATAGTAATGAAACCTAGGTTTTTGACCTCTGTAATATCTGCCTTGTGGTAAATATGTATTTGATAGCAATTACCCACAACAGGATCTCAGAGAGGAGATATTTCTCTCATAACTCATCACATTCCTATGGAGACTTCAGTAATTTCAGAGCAGATTTGCAATGCAATGTTTAAACATTTGCTTGACTTCTAGGTATATGTGCAAGTAGCCTACAAGAAATGGCAGTCTGGAAATGTCTTGCTCATGCATACTGTTAAGTTGTACAAAAAAATCAGACCAGCCAGGTGATCAGTAATAAAGTGAAGCATTTTATTCAAGGTGGAGGAAAGGCAACCAAGCAAACCTCTTTTCCTCATGTCTCTCTTCCTCTTCCTGAAACTCTCTGCATGATAGGGCATTCCTTTGAGTTAAGCATTGCCTCCTCCCTGAGATCCTCTTTTCGAGGAGAAATGGTTTATAGGCAGGATGATAATACACTGTAACAGTAACACTGTTGTAGCAGTTATGTGTGAGTTTTTTAGATGACTTTACTCTCTGACGGGAGGAATGGGGCAGCATTGAGTCCCTGGGTTCCTAGTGAAGAAGGGATGCTTTCCTGGCCAAAGCTCATGGAGAAAAGTACAGAAAGGGGAGGTTGGGAGTACCAAAGATAAATTTCTTAGGTATCAGTTTCATTGGGATGATAACCCTGCTGGGGAGATGTGACACTATAGTCACAGAATTCCCAGAGGGAAGACCTAAAAGTTGTCTTCACACAATAGAGGAGGGGGACAGTAAGAAAGGAGGCCTGCAAGTTCAGTGTAAGGAGAAGAGCCAGCTCTGGCTCCCCATCCTTCCCCAGACATTTCTGGTGGCTGCCCTGACCATTCTTCTCCACTCCTTCCCTTCTCCCCACCCTCTTCCAGACACACACTTCTTAGTTGGGAGAAATGGAGCCATCCAGCCCCACATAGCTGCTTCTGCAGGGCCCTTCCAGTTCCATGACATGGCCCTCCCTTATCATTTCAGGGGTTTTCTGTGGGGATCACAGCATTCATGGTGGGGTACTCTTAGCTGGCTCACTGCAGAATACAGCAAAATTGTGAAGTGAGCTCAGTCTGTCTTTGATGCCCCATTGCCGCCCCACCCCCAACTTCCTTTGTCCGGGGCCCTGTTGGGAACACCCAGTGCCCTAAAGCTCTCTGTGACTGCAGAGAACTTTCCTTAATGGAAAGCTATGCAATTTTGTCCAGACTTCAGAATTATCCTTTTTTTTTTAAAAAATTTCATTTATGGAATAAAACAAGCCTTTCCATAACATAGTATAATAAAAAAGATGATTGCACATGAAAACATAAATCTAATGTGTACAACTTGCTATTCCTTTTAAATATATAATAATGTTATCATGTACATTTCTTTTTTCCCTTTTTTTTCTTTCTTCTCACAATCCCCACTTCCCCAGAGATGGCTAATATTAGATAGAAATGAATATAAATATATATGTCAATACTCACACACACATACACATATATTGATATATATAAAGTTATTCTGTACCTATGGAGCTCTTGGAGGGAATAGGGACTCAGTCATCACACATATATTTCACCCTGACTCAACAGGAGTCAAAGCTAAGGTTTTAAGCATGCAGAAAAACAAAGCAGACTGCCTCAGAAGGGCAGGTCAGCCCTCCTGGACAGATCAGGGAGCCCACCCTCCCGAAGAGGTGCTGCCAACCCCTCACCTGGCCAATCTGGGCGCTGTGGCTTTACCAAAATATACAGTCTTCTATCTCCCTCCTCATCACAGAGCTGATCTTCGGGGTCATTATTGGTGTGGGGTGTGCCTGGAGCCTGGGCATGTGTGAGCAGCAGAAGGCAGATTGAAAAACAAAAGAACTGCTGGAAAATGCAAGTTATCTGACCTAGGGCCAGCCCATTTCCTGAAAATGGGGAGATTTAGAGGAAATGTTCAAGATCACCTGACTGGGTGTACTCCTGCCTGCTCAGTCAATAGGGTCCCTAAGCTGAGGAACCAGAAAAAAGGGATCTTAACTGGGCATAAATCACTCCTCTGGAGTAACATGTAACCAGCTCTTAATGATTAGATCTGTGGATTAACCAGACCTTTGCTCACTTCCTATCTCTCTCTCTCTGTCTCCCTTGGTACCTACCTCCCTATCTCTCATCTTCTTGCTTGATCACTTGGCCATTATTTTCTTTTTTTTTTAATCTTTTTAAAATTTTTTACTTATTTTTAATTTATAGCATAAAACAAGCATTTCCATAACAGAGTAAAATAAAAAATATTGTACTTGAAACTGCAAATTTATTATGTATAACTTGCTATTCCTTTTAAATACATAATAAATTTATTATATAAATTATTTTTCTTTTTGTTCTTTACCCCCCCACCCTAGAGATAGCTATCATTATATAGAAATATGTATATATGTATGTAAATCATTCTATACAGGCTTCTATTTATCAGTTCTTTTCCCGGATGCAGATAGCATCTTCTTTCATCTGACCTTTGTAGTTAATTTGAGTATTGATAATAGTCACAATGACTTATTTGTTCAAAGCCCTTCTTAAAACAATATTGTTATCACTGTATACAATGTTCTCTTGGTTCTGCTTATTTCACTCTCCTTTATTTCATACAAGTCTGTCCAGGTTTTTCTGAGAGCATCCTGCTCATCATTTCTTACAGCACAGTAGCATTCCATTCTAATCATATCCTACAACTTGTTCAGCCATTCCCCAATTGATGGGCATCCGTGCAATTTCCAGTTCGTTGTCATCAGCAAGGGAGCTGCCAGAAACATTTTAAAACATATAGGTCCTTTTCTTTTTTCCATAATCTTCTTTGGAAATAGACCCAGTAGTGATATTGCTAGGTCAAAAGGTATAAGCAGCTTAAGAACTCTTTAGGCATAATTACACATTGCTCACCAGAATGGTTGGAGTAGCTCACAATTCTACCAACAATCAACCAGTGTCCCCATTTTTTTCACATTCCTTCCAACATTTGTCATTTTCCCCTTCAATCATTTTAGTCAATCTGATAGCTGTAAAATGATTCCTCAAGGTTGCTTAAATTTACATTTCTCTAATTAATAATGATTTAGAGCATTTTTTCTTATGATTATAGATTATTTGTCTTTCTTTATTGGAAAACTGCCTGTTCATTTCCTTTGACCATTTATCAGTTGGGGAAATGACTCATATTCTCTCTCACCTGGTCATTATTTTCAAGCTCCTCTTTCACTAAAAAAGAGTGGGAAACCTGTGGCCTTGAGGCCACATGTGGCCTTCTAGGTCCTTGGGTTCAGGATTTGTTCTGTAAAGTTCACATTCGGTCAAAAGGCCACACTTGAGGACCTAGATGTTCCCTTAATAAAAGAATTTCTTCTGTAAAACTTGGACTCAGTCAAAAGGCCAAACCCAAGGACCTAGAAGGCCATGTGTGGCCTTAAGACTACAGGTTCCCCACCCCTGCTCTAAAACCTTCTGATAAGTGAGCTTTCCTCTTCCTCTTACCCTGTAAGCTACACAGTCCCTTTAAGGCCCTTTTCACATGGATCAGTTTTGTGATGAAAAAGAAAATAAAGGTATTTTTGTGTAAAAGGAAAGATTTAACTATTAAGGAATGTAAGATATTGCCCCTGTTAACAGATGAAACTGTAGATGCCCAAAAGGAATAGGAAAAGAACTTTGTTTAAAAAAAATACTTATAAATAAACAGTTTTCACATGGGATTTGAGCAGTTTCAGATAGAAAGTTAACTGTGGCATCAATATAAAATAGTTCAAACCCTCACTCGATCCTGTCATCCCAACTATCTCTCTTCTACTTGGTGGCTGAAATTCTGGAAAAGGTTGGCTCCAATTGTTGTGGTTTAGGGGTACTGGAAACCCTGAAATTCAAGGGCAAAAGGCCAGGGTTCTGCCTCAAAAGAATTCAACTCAACCCTTCTTTTAGTCAGAGACAAGGTTTATTGAAACACTTGTTGGAGTGGGCAAGATTCCTAGTGAGTCTGTGCTATTGGCCAGATTTTAAGAATCTGAGCAATTTAATGGCAGCAAGATGGACCTTTATACAGGAAGACTGTGGAAAGATTTGGATGTGATCTAGGAGTGGCCAAGTAGTCTGGGGTGGGGCCAGGTGCAGACTATGAGGGCCACAATGAAAGGGTAGTTAAAAGGATTACACTGGGATGGGCTGGGTGCCTCAGGCAAATGCCAGAGACTTGGTACAGGAGCTTTGGGGTTCTTGTAGGGGTCCAGTGGGAATCCCATCCCCATCATAATCAGCAGCTCTCTTTCCTTTTTTCCTACTCCATTCTTTTTCTTCATATATAAATTTTACTTTTTATCTTGGATGAGATACTTCACATTGTCTTCTATTTTTTCAAACTTTTGACTTTAATATAGAAAATGTGGGGCAGCTAGGTGGCCCAGTGGATAGAGTGCTAGACCTGGAATCAGAAAGACCTGAGTTCAAATCCAGCCTTAGACTCTTACTAGCTATGTGACCCTAGGCAAGTCACTTAATCTCTGTTTGGCTCAATTTCCTCATCTGTTAAATGAACTAGAGAAGGAAATGCCAAACCACACCAGTATCTTTGCCAAGAAAACCCCAAATGGAATCATGAAAAGTTGGACATGATGGAAACGACTGCACAACAACAATAAAAAAGAAACTCAGTTATGCCAAAAAGAACCACAGACAACAACCCAACATCAGTCAAAGAAAAAATGTATTCTCCATTTGCCTTAGCATCCATATTAATAAAGCAAACATTATCTGACCTACAAAAAGACATAGACAGTAACACATATGTGACAGGAGAATTCAGCATCCCTCTGTCAGTTTTGTATAAACCTAACTGAAAGATAGAGAAAAGGCAAAATACAGAATTGAACAAATTTCTGGATAGACTATTTAGTTCAGATTTGTCCCCAAGGGAGAAAATAGCTGGACTTACGTTAACTTTATCTTCAGAGAAACAAGTCCCCTCCAAGTGGGGAGAGGGAGAAAGACCTACAGAAATGGATTTGATTGTAGCAGCTGTCACCATGCCTCAGTTGTCCTCTTTGGTTTTATCCAGGCAAACATTGAGAGAAATTTCTCAGTTCAACAAAACACACTAGTGAATTTTCCAACTTCCTGGATCTGTTGCTCATAGGGTAGGGGTCATTTCACCAGTGAAGAAACTGAGGCCCAGAGAATTTAAATGAGTTGCCTAGGGTCACTTAGGTGGAAAATGTCAGAGAGAGGATTTAAACCCAAGTCCTCTGACTCCCATGTTCTTTTCACTGCACCATGACAATTCCCTGCCCTTGACTGGTCCTCAGGGTTAAGCAGCATTTGTGCCTAACAAATCTCTTCTAATTCCCATTGTCTTTTGCTAACACAGTATACTTCAAAAAAAACCATTTTGGACTATTCACCATTCAGAAAGAGAATGTTGATATTCCTAGAAAAAACAACCTTTAAGATCCTTTCCAGCCATGAAATATTCTGGGCTCTTGCACAGAAGATCTCTTCTTAAGAAATTGTATATGATTTGAAAGCGATGCATTTCTGATCCTCTATCAGCTAGCTACCTTAAACAAGAAATAGCTTTGTAATGTCAGGAAATTCCCTCCAAGGAGAAGGATGTTACCAAAAATCAATAGTTTCACTTTTCAGGTTGTTTTTTTCCTGCCCTATGTGAAGCAAAACATATTTTTAGTATTTTCTAAAACAACAACAGATTCAGAGTTTGACTAACCTTGTGAAGCCAGATTTGTGAAGTTCTATTCTTCCTGTGTTCCCTGGACTAAAGTATCTTTACACAGTGCCAGACTGGGAGGAATTGTGCTCCTGCCCACAACTGGGAGTGATCTATAAGATTTAACCACTGACATGAGGTGGAGATTATTTCTATATTTCAATTTAATCTTGAACCCTTTTGGGGGGAGGAGAGAGGGGTTATTTGATCTTGCCCAGGCTAGAAGTATAGCAGCCTGAGTAGCACCAAAGTTTTAACCTGCTCCTTTTTTTTTTTTTGACTTGGGCCCTTTTGTCCCTCCTCAGGCAGTCTGGTGTCCCTCTACTTTTCAGGGGACTCCTCCTATTGGTGCTGAATTCAGTGTGACATCTGATCAGCTCTAGTTCTTCTGTAGGTCAGGACTCCTGAACTCAAGCGATCCACCAGCCTTAGCCTCCTCAGAAGAAGGAACTATGGACATGAACCACCCCCCACCCCCAACTAATAGCCATGAATCTTAAAGTGTGTGGAGGTAGAAGGGTTGGACAGGTAGATTTGCTTAAAAAGAGCTTATTGTCTAAATACAATCACCTCAACCCTTTGCAGAGGTAGGAGGCCCATAAGTGTTGTACATTGCACATGTTTTCCAGTGTATTGATCAGTTAGGGTGATTTTTTTTTGTCTTCCTTTCCTTTTATGTCTGTAAAAAAAACTGGATGGCTCTCTGAGATGGAGAGGAAGAGGGATACTGGGGAAACCTATGAGGATGATAAAAACAAAAGAAATCAATAAAAACACTTCTTTAAAAAAGTGAAAAACAACATGGGCTCAGGATAGTAACTAAGGCCCTGTGGACAAAATTTCAGATGCATTGACTGTCTCTCATGCCTAGAATACTCTCTCTCCTCTCCTCATTCTCTTAACTTCCCTGGCTTTCTCCAAGACACACCTCAGATCCTGCCTTTTATAAGTCTTTTCATGGTGTAACACTCCTGCTACCTCACTACTGGTGCCTTCTCTCTGAGATTACCTCCAATTTTCCCTGAATATATGTTGTAGATCTAGAGTTGTTTTGCATGTCTCCCCCATTAGAATTAGAATGTGACAACAACTGATAAGACTAAGAATCATTCCCTAATGGATAAGTAGTC